CCTCCAAGCCAAATCTAATTTCAACAAAAAACAAAGTTACCAAGTTATACAACTAGTTATTACTACTGAAAGGTATAACGTCCAATAACTGAACTACCTGATAGCTGTTTGGACCATCTCCGACCAGTCCGAGCTCAGCCATATATGGTCTAGCACAACCATTAGGGCAGCCAGTTACCCTTATCACCACCGACTCACTGTACTTGAGTCCGACCTGAAATTAGGCAGTGCCAATCAATTTATTAGATTCAGATAATTGGTAAGGAGGAGCATTTAAATTTCAGCTTGGAAGGCAAAAATTTCAGGCAATGATATTCATTCAAACTTCAGTGTTAAGTCAGTCAAGTCAGTCTTCTTGTTGGGCATAACGTATTTAAATTTAACAGGATATTTGATAAATATACGACTTACCTTCTCGAAGACAGCTCTGATCCGCTTGAGGATATCAGGTATGCCACGTTCAGCTTCGGTTATTGCCAAAGGGCAAAGTGGGAAAGCTGGACAAGCCATAGCAGTTAAGTTCAGGGGCTCCACATATTTAGGATGCTGTTTCAAATCGAGAACCAGTCAGCTGTATGACTAATTCAATGAATGAAATATAAAAACATGAAGGAGAGTAAGGCAAACAAGTTCGGGGAATGGTTATTAATAAGCGGAAAACAGCTAAACAGTTAAGCAGGAAATGCGACCCACACAGACGTTAAGTTCCTGGAAAATGTTATTTACAATCATCACTCCACAGTCTACGTAGATTAACTCCAACCTTAAGATGTCATTACCCTACTTAATCCTCCTGGAGTTATTTTGTTACAAAATTGAAAGAAACTGAAAATAAAAAAAATGTGGATTCAAATCCTCCATCCAAACTTTTCAGTGGGATTCTATGCAATAGTACAGTCGGAAATGGTTTGTCTTGAGTGATTCCCTGTTAGTTGTCTTGTCTAGCTACCAACTTGCCTTAAAATATTGCAATTCTTCAGTGAACTTGTTAATTGAAGTTTTTAACAAGGGAAAATGACTCTAAGTTGAACCTAATTTTATACTATATAACTCGCCCTAAAATATAGCCTAAAGGGAGAGACATTAACATATATAGTCTAACAGAACTACCATGGTAATCAATTTTATTATTTCTTTAAAATCTGAGATACATTATCATATACATAATAGACAGAAAATATAGGTATCCATTTGATTAAGATGATACACTTTGAAACTTCAGCAGACATTGTTGACAACTGCAGGTTCAGAAACCAGAAAGGTAAATTTTACAAGTAATGAAAATCTTACCAGCAGCCCAGCTTGAGCAAGAACTGTGGTAATAGGACGCTTCCATGCACTACGAACATCACACAAAATGAGGTTTTGGTTTGGGTGATCCGCACATTTAAATTATACTTCTCTATTACTTCCCTCAGAGTCTTTTTAATCTTTCCTCCAATGCGACCATTATCTACATGGAGCCCGCAAAATAAAGCACCATCTCCCTGCAAAAGGAAAAGTTACCAACAAGGTCATATGTACTATAAAAAAGCCAAGGATGAAGTTGAAAATGAAAACAATTCAATCCAAGCATAAAATCAGATGATTAAAATGCAATTAGTAACAAGGCAAACGTGGAAGTTAAAAAAAGTCAAACCAAAAGCACGAACCTGTTCATGCCATCCCAAGTAACTCTTAAATTCCCATTCAGGCAACTCATGGAAAGGCTCGAATTTCTTTCCATAATATTGCTCAACAACACTTCTAAACTTTTCAATCCCCCAAGAGCTGATCAATATTTCATTCTACTATACCTACGGTCATCTCTTCTTCCATTATCACGTTGTGTGGCAACGATGGCTTTAATACAATATGTCTGCCTTTGGCACATAAGAGTGGTTCTCCCAAACGGGAAAGTGGTCTCCATCCTATGGGTTCTTCCCATGCCGCCACCAACCTGCAACAACGATTACGAGAAATGGATGCTTTTAGGTATAAAAGTGTGCAAGGTAAAAGGGAAAAGATATGATTTCTTTGATCCTATGGTTGTCTTACATATATGTTGAACCCCTGAGGTTCTCCAATTTCATCAGAAATTACTACAACACCGATATCATTTGTGAGAATATCCACCGAATTATCAGTTGGCACAGTCACAGCAATCTTAAACTTCCTTGGCAAGAACTGCGTCCCATATATCGGCTCGGGAGAATCAGGGAAATTCGTTCCATGAGAGTTATCATTCCTGGCTTTCACAACTTCCGGAGGCTCCGATGTCATGAATTTCTCCCCATCCACCCATACATCATAGTAAAAACCCGATTGAGGAGTCAACAATGCAGCAATATTGACAGCAGTTTCTTGTGCAAACCGGTATTCTTTCGTCATTAGTGGTGCAGCAGGAGCAAGAACATTCCTATTTAAATCCCCACATGCACCAAGGGTAGAACCCATGTTTCTAATAATGGTGCTCATCACAGTCTTGAGGTCCTTCTTCAAAACACCATGGAGCTGAAAGGTCTGCCTCGTCGTCAAACGCAAAGTTCCAATGCCGAATTGATCGGCAAGATCGTCCATAGTCAAGTAGAGCTGGTTCGGGACTTTCCCGCCCGGGTTTTTAGTCCGAAGCATGAAGGAAAAAGACCTTGTACCACGCTCGTCTCTGTTGTACTGTTGATAGCTCCCATGGAACTTAATTAATTGCGTTGCAGCCTCGTTTATGTTTGGGGTATCAGTCAATATCTCCTCATTGAGAGGGTATCTGATGAAATTGCTTTGTTCTTTGAATATCTCAACTTTACTCCGCTTTGGTTCTGTGGCACTCGTTTCAGGCTTCACTGGCTGTGAAGGGACTCAACAATAACAGAACAAATTAACATAAAAGTTCTCAAATTTAATCATACTTCACTAGTAAAATACATCAATTTTAAAGAAAACAGACTCAATTATTCATTAACAATTCTCATAAAGCGATGAAGAATGAAACGTAATTAAAAAAATGGTTCGAAAAAAAAAGGCAAGCTGAGAGAAACGAAAGTGAAAACTGAAAAGGTATAGAAATTACAAAAAGGTACAAGATTTTCTCCGACTTTCTTAGATTCCAAACAACAATCAACATTCAGAATGCAATTAAATTATAAAAGCAAAACAAGACTGACCGTGGAGACAGCTCTGATGAGAGTGGGACTGCAGAAAGGAGCGGGAAACACGCGAAGATTCCTCTTCAAAGCTATAGAATGCGGGGATTTCAACCCCGTGAAGCTCCGGACTCGAATCTTCGGATCCGTCGCAGCTCCAAACGACGTCGTCATTAGCTTCAAAGCAAAAGCCAAAAGCCTTGAACTTTCAGTTCGATTTCCCTTTAGAAAAAGAAAAGGAGATTAAAAGGTAGGGTTTTCAATCCAGAGTCCTCTTCAAAATGAAGAAGAAAAGGAAGGGCGCAGCGACAATGACGAAAAGGAAAGCAGAGAGAGAATTTGATGCTTTAATAGAGGAGTGGATTTTATTCGTGTAAAGTGCAAGTGTTTTATTTGGTTTTGCTAAGGTGCGCCCATCACGTGCCTGCCACGGGACTTTCGTTTTATCGAATCTTGACTTGCATAACATTCCCACGCGCGGAGCTTAATGGGACTGACTGATTTGTCAGTTTCATAATAATTATGTATAACTATTTATATTTAGCATTGTGACTGTGGTGTAATTTTCAAAAGTTAAAAAAAAAATATGATTTGTTCTTAATTAAAAATATTTTGAATTCACAAAAAATCATTTTAAATATTCTTCTTATCAATATCATTTTATAATTAAGTGCTAAAAATATTATAATTTATTTCTTCGTTGTGATTTTCTATTTGAGAAAAGAAAAGTAAGAGTTTATATTATATTAAATTTTGGATTCACCTCAAAATTCAAAACATTACATCTTTAAACTTATATGTTAATTTTACAAATTCTAAATAAGAAGCAACACGGACTATTTTTATATAAGGTTTTGAAGTTTAATAATTACACGTGTTTTAATTACATTTAGAATCAAATTTAATTTAATTTTCAGACAGAGTTAAATTCTTTTAATACCGTTTTATATAATAACAAAATTTCAAAATTTATCTAATACCGTGGTGAAGTATGGGGCGCGTTATAAACTGTCAAAAGGCGGCGTGTTATCCAAGTGATGGACAACAAATCCCTGGGATTTTAGTGGTACATTGAACTTGGACGGATTTACGTTTTACCCGTGGTGAAGTAGGTAAGATTAGAACCTATACGGCCATGTCTTGGCGGATAATGGTTAAACATTATTTAATTTTATTTTAACAACATTTTTATTAGATTAAGAATAGCATTCCAATATTTTTACTTTTTTCTTTTAATAATATATTTTAGTGTGAACTATGTATTTAATAACTAAACTATTAATTTTAATTTACTTAAGTATCTAAACTTTTATTTTTTTTTAAATCACATCTAAAGTTTAATTTTTATTTCATACTATTAAAAACATAACAATTTTAGTACCTAAATTATTATTTAATAATATATTTAGTGTGAACTATGTATTTAATAACTAAACTATTAATTTTAATTTACTTAAGTATCTAAACTTTTATTTTTTTTTAAATCACATCTAAAGTTTAATTTTTATTTCATACTATTAAAAACATAACAATTTTAGTACCTAAATTATTAAATTTGACCTATTTTAATATCTAAACTTTCAATTTTTTTTAAACTTAATGTTAAATTTTAAACAATAATACTAAAATAAAACAAAAACTAGACTTTAGATATAATTTTAAAAAAAATTAAAAAGTGAAGTGCTAAAACAGATTAAAACTAATAGTTTAAGTATTAAACACATACTTTACCCTATATTTTATTTACAATTATTAAAGTTTTTATTAAAACATTATTTATTTATATTTATGAAAATGATTAAAAGAAGGAATCAATTTGTAGTATCATAAGCAAGTTAAAAGATCATCACTAAGGTATTTTAACCATGTGTTCAACTAGCATACTCGTAAAGACAGCCAACTCGATCTACAAAACGAAATGTCTTTTAACCTAAAACGACAAAGAAAACCTGGGTGTCATCTGCTTGTTATGAAACCTTTCCTACAAACCACTAATTTAACTACCTTGCTATTGTGTTCTATTCAACAGTCTATGAACAAAATTGCAGCTAGAGAAAAATGATAAAAGCACAGAACATGAAAACGATGGCCGAGTCTTATGCGATCTCTTCTCTCTTCTCTTATCTTCTCCCGTTCCGTCAACCAGAGCCAAGAATGATTTACTGCCTCGACAATGAACTGTCACGACTGTGATCAAGGACAAGTCTTGGGAGTTCGACTGACCCTTCAGCTTTTGAAAGGGTGCCCTCCGTTCACCGGATAGCGAGTGGCCTGATCAGAGGAGATGCTACTGCCTAATTTCTGATAATGACTGCTGCCGTTGACATGGTGCATGCCGTACACTTGGGACACTCTTGCTTCTTGCAGAGGGAGGGAAGCCCAGGTTTCGCCAGAATCGGTTTGCAACGGTTAGGAATCTGAGGAACTTGGAGACTGAGATAAGGCAGGACCTGAACCTGATCCTTTTGCTTGTCCCCTGTCGGCATCTGTTTTCTTTGCGAAACGTCCTCCAGTGCCTCTCACCCTACGCAAAGCATGCTGGTGCCTGGATTCGTGGAGATAGGGCTGTGGGATATAGGAGATGAGGTATTACATGGATGGAGATCAGATGGCATGCACCACAAATTTTAACAATAAAACAGAACAAGTTTCTCAAAGAGTAGCTATTTGTACCGGCACAATGTTACTTATTCCAACCAAAAGAGTGTTCAGCACTTAAGTTTTAGATTTACCTTACGGGATTTTAAAACCTTCTTCTCAAGTTCTGCTTTGGCACGGGCCTGCCTTCGCCTCAGAATTCCCTGGTACTGTTTGGCATTTACGTAAACAGGCTCTTGTGCCATTTCAATCGGTAAAGTCGTTCTTGCATGAGGCATTCCAACAAACGGAGGATATCCCTGGCCATCACAAAAATTTATTCATTAGAGAGTGCACCACGTCTTGAATTTCGAGTATCAAAAGAAGGTTCTTAAATGAAGAATCTTACTTCAATAATGCCCTTGGTTTGCTTATATTACAAAAAAACAAGGAGAAGAAAATCTAATGCTAGTATCATGGACAGATGATGCACAAAACGTTAACAATAGGAAAGTATTAGAAATTCAAAAGCATGCTTCCGTATTCATCAAAGTAGGAGCATCCAAAGTCTCATGAGAATGGTTTCATACAAAAGACATTAATACTAACAGAAACAAATTTATAAGCATAAAAAATTCAAGATTAAATTAATTAAAGTTCCATACCAAAGGCTGATGCCCATAAGCTGCCATCATTCCTCCATAATGCGGGTCCATATAAGGATTTGATGCACATGCCTGCAAAATGATTGGAAGAAAGCTAGGAAATTCTTCGATAGCAAGTTCCATAACAACAAGACCCCTAATGGCATACAACAGAAAATCTTGGCCCTGAGGCACTTACGATTGAATGACCGACAAGCTCAAGCAGGGGAGGCTGCGTGAGGCCTTCATCATGCATAGTAGGTATGGTAAGTGCAACATGCTGCAAATTGTATTGTTCTTGACCGCCATTTTCAACTGCAAATGAATAGAAGAAAAGCGATTGGCACCCCAACCACAAAACTCTTGTATGAAAGGAATAATCAATAACAAACAATAATACCAACATATTACACAAGTAAAGCACTTTAAAGTGCAGGGAAAATATTTACTTCATAGCATATTTACTTAAACGGTTATACAAGTCAAGATAGACCAAATGTCTTCTAGTCTTCTGGAAACTAAAGCATATTTAACTGAACCGTTAGATTTGTCAGTTAAATACTTACACATTTGAGAAGGCATGGGGGTTTTATGTGAAATAGCAGTAAACAATAAACAGAATCTAGAACAATATATACCTTGAATAATCTGCATATCCATGTTCGATATTAGAAGTCGTGATTCATGAAATTATGAAGAGTGTGGCCAAAAGAAAATTTTATAGAGACTTGGCCATTTATATTAGCAACATTCATTTTATTAATTACTAGAATAATGATGTGAAGTACCTGACCGAGAGGATGCATTAGTTTGTGTTTCTTTATTAACATCATCCTCTTCATTTAGCTCACCATTGGACAGTGACAGCCTATCATTCGACTCTGAACCATTAGTGCATTCCATTGAAGATGAATTTAATGAGTTTACTCCTCTCACTACCGTGGGGATGGAAACGCAACCAATATTACACCACTTTAGTTCAGAACAAACTGCAGTTTATTGAACACCACACCTCAGGTTCTAAATTCTAATTGACTTCCATCTTCAGAATTTAACTGCAACCCTCCAAAAAGAAAAACTCAACTGATAGTCAATTTCTAATATATGAACATGGAAATTTGTTCTTTGGAAATACAAATTCTTCTTACTTAAGTAATCACACATATGAATAACCAAACAAAACAAAGCAAAGCAAAGTATAAAGAAACATAAAAAAGAGAGAACAAATTTCACATTCATCAGAAGAATAAATCGAAATCTCTATTAAAAAAGAGAAATGAAAGCATCAAAACAGTAACCACAAAACTTCAACCAAACACCTGGACAAAACAAAACCAAGAACTGATTAATATTTCCAATTGCAAAAATAAATATTTTGCTTTCATGTTAACAAACTTGTAGAATTGTGGGGAAGCTACTAGTGATTTCTATGTTTAAAATTCGATGTAAATGATCAAAAATTCATCAAGGATTTGGAGTTTTATTACAAAAAATTAAAAGTTTCACAAATACTGGTCTTTACTTGGCCTGCTCGAAGTTTAAGCTTTGCACTTTTCACTAACTTTCTTTCCCTATATTTAAAAAAAATCAAAAACTCTTGTTCTTTGTCCTGCATGGAATTGAGAATTTGAATTTCTTTGGGGGGGGGGGAAATCTCATTTCTCGTATTGTCTCACAAATCCAATAATTTCTAACACTAAAGATCACCTCAATCCATCAAATTCCATGATTAAAACCTCAAATTTCACAACCCCGAATACATAATTCTCACAGAACCGCCAGAAAAGAAAAATTAAATTCAAACCAGAACAAAGCATCCCAATTTCTCAAACCCTAAACTAATTACAACTCCACCTTAAGAATTACCCAGAAAGACGAAAGAATAAACAACTGAAAACACTAAGACATCAAGATACCACCAATTAACAAAAGGAAAGAGAAAAGGGAAACTGAAAAAAGGCACTTACCCGTTTAACCGAGAAGAACGAACCCTAAAATTTTGAGGATTTTTTTTGAGAGAGAAAATCAAAATCAACAAGAGAGAAAGAGTCAATCTAGTTTCTCTGCAGTTCTCGGTATAACACTAAAAGAGATTAACCAATTTTTCTTCCTTTTTCAATTTTTTTTTTCGTATTTGAACTCTGAGATTTAGGCTTTTGATCGCATCATCAACTCCTGAATCCAGGTTTTAATCGAGCTTTTACCGACACGTGGACTATTTCATTTTTTCCTCCTTTCCGTTTTACTGGTAAATTTAATTTATCATTTTTATTTTTATAAAATTTTTGTTTTAATTTAATCTTTAAAGTTATTTAGGGTATTCATTCTAGTCCTTGAAGCTTATTGATCATTTTGACCAACAGAATTACAAGTCTTCTGCATCTATGAATTAAGGAATTATGTTAAACTTTTTATTAAACATAATGATTAGCATAAATTATCAAAATTAAATATAAGTTGATTAATTCTTTTTTTGTGTTAGTCAGAAATAGTCTTCTACTCTCTCTTTTTATAATATTAGTAAAAATTATCTTCTTTTACATATAATTTTTCTTTAAAATATTTATTATAAATAATTTTAATGTTTTTATTATTTATTTTATAATATATATATATATATATATATTGTTATCTTTAAAATATACAATAAAAATTTAGGGTAAATTATGTATTTAGTACCTAAACTATTAGTTTTAGTTCGTTTTAGCATCTAAACTTTTAATTTTTTAAAACCATACATAATATTTAGTTTTGTTTCATTTTAGTACCACACTGTTAAAAACTTAATGTGTTTAGTACCTAAAATATTAATTTTGATCTATTTTAGTATCTAACCTTTCATTCCCCCTCCAAAAAAATTAACGTTAAATTTTAAACAAATGTGTTAAAATAAAACAAAAACTAAACTTTAGATATGATTTTGAAAAGATTGAAAGTTTAGGTCTAAAACGGATCAAAATAATAGTCTAGATACTAAAAGCGTAATTTACCCAAAAAATTAACTCAATTTATAACCTCCGTCGATTAACCAATAATGAATTAATCGAATTAAAACTTGATATACATAGCGTTATCAAATTAAAACTTTTTGAAAATGGGCTTGGCCTTTCGGTATAGAGCATTTAGTAGGCTTGGCTAAGAACAGAACACCGGTGAATAGCCGGTTACAGGTGAAAAAGCGAGTGGACGTAATGAGAGTAGAGCCTTGGGTGACGTTATCAAAGGCGGAGAGAATTGGAATATGAGAGGGAAGACCCACCTGACACGCACTTGACGGGGAACGCGTGTCTGAGGCACGGGACCACTTTTGATCAAGGTAACGACAAATAAGATTCATCCATTTAATAAGATAAATATAAATATTAGTATTTAATAAAAAAAATATTTTTTACTTTAAATAAAGAATATGTTATATAAATATAGAATAAATCTGTGTATTAAAAATTTAAATTATAATTTATACATGATGAGTAAAAACATACTGTTTGATGTATTCACCATCGAATTTGAAAGAATAATCCGAAGTTTTCAAAAGAAGGGTGAATAAATAAATCTAGTGCATAATTTATAAATAACATAGGTTAAGGAAGTACACAAGCGACGCTTTGGCCGAGTGGTTAAGGCGTGTGCCTGCTAAGTACATGGGGTTTCCCCGCGAGAGTTCGAATCTCTCAGGCGTCGCATTTTATTTTTGGGTAACTATACAAATAGGCCTTGAGCTTTTAGTAGTGTACTTGCATTTTGGTTACCTAGCTTTTAAAATTTACAATACCATCACTAAACATTTAATTCGCCCTCATTACTACTAATTGTCGTTAAAAAGAACTGGCGTGACTTCTTCCCAGGTTTCTGGAGCTTAAAATTGATAATTATTTATGTTTTTCGTTTGATGATTTCTTTGATAAAAAAAATCACAAAACTACTTCTTCTTCTTTCTTTCGATTTAAAACCGTAAGAGAAATTACAATATTTTATGATTAATCGTTTGTGTTTTAAAAACGAAATTGACAAAACATTTATTTTCATGGTCACCCCTTCCCTTCCTCTTTGGCTTCATTGATCTTGAAGCCATTGTCTAACTAATTAGGCCTCGCTTAATAGTTACTTTTTAATTTGGTTTCTTTTACAACGGGAGATTTAATTAATGGAAACTGACATCTCAACCATTAAAGGCAAAATCCAGTGGATGACAGATACTATTCAAAGTAAATACTCAATTAGTTTTAGTAACGCTTCCTTTCCAAGCTAAAGAATGTTGGATCAACTGATTAATAATGAATTTCGTAATGTCACACGAAAAAGATTTCCACATCTTTTTGATGCAATGATAAATTTTATTTTCACCCTCTAATTTTTGTATAACGTTTCTATTACCTTTTTTGGATAAATTACAGATTTAGTACCTAAACTATCAGTTTTGATCTGTTCTAGTACCTAAACTTTTAGAATTTTCAAAACAATACCTAAAGTTTTGGTTTTTGTTTCATTTTAGATTAAAAACTTTAGTTTTTGTTTTATTTTAGTACCCGTTAAAAACTTTACGTTAAGTTAAAAAAAAAATCAAAATTTAGATACTAAAATGGATCAAAACTGATAATCTAGGTACTAAACCCGATAAGTTTTTAAGAGCGAGGTACTAAAATGGAACAAAAACTAAACTTTAGGTATAGTTTTAGAAAAATTAAAAGTTTAGAAATTTAAACAAATCAAAACTGATAGTGTATGTACTATGGTGTAGTTTACTCCACCCTTTTATGTCTCATCAATAGTATTTTTGGGTAAATTGCATAGTTAGTATCTAAACTATCAGTTTTGGTCTGTTTTAGTACCTAAACTTTCAATCTTTTCAAAATCATACCTAATGTTTAGTTTTCATTTCATTTTAGTACAAACTTTATGTGATTAGTACCTAAACTATCAGTTTTGGTTCGTTTTAGTACCTAAACTTTAAATCTTTTCAGAACTTAAAGTTAAATTTTGAACGGGTACTAAAACGGACCAAAATTAATAGTTTAGGTACTAAATGCATAATTTACCCAATTAGAAATCCCTCAGACAAATTACAAAGAGCACTATTCATCAGAAATGAAATATTCCTCTTATTTCAAATACTGTTTAAATGGCTTATTCAAGTCAAATCAAAGTACACTCATAAGAGAGAAAAAATAATACTTACAAAGATTTTCATGCCACCGTTATTCCAAAACTCAGCACCGTTATTCCAAAACTCAGCTATCCTACAACCTTATACAAATGTTTTTTTTGGGGGACTGGTTTTGCAAGCATTGTCGGAATCTAGGATGTTTGTAGTGTTTTCGCTATCAAACAGACAGGGTTTAAGGTTTGGAAATGGACTATAGGGTTTATTTAATTTTTGACCTAAATGTTTAATTATTCAGCTTTGGAAATCAAGTAATGGAAAGGAAGAAACATCTTTCATCAAATCCTCCAAATCCCATTCCCCAACTTTAAGCTCTTCTCCTAACCAAAAATCCCCGTTGGCCGTTACGTTCTCCGATTTGATGTTGTTGTTTATGACACTAAAAGGGTTGTTGTTAATGTTGTTATCGTTCGCGGCGGCGATGACGTTGCTATCGAATGTATTCTCCGTTTGAAGGTTATCTCCGATTGATTCTAAAGGAGGGATATATAATTCCTCCCCGTTGTCGGTGCAACCGAACATCTCGTTTTCACCGTAGAAACCGTTGCTGTTTACGTCGACGAAGTACCCGGCGGTGGCGCCGAACATGGTTCCGGTTGGATTCAAGACCACGGATTGCAAGGAAGAGTTGGACGAAGTCGATGATAAATCGATGTACGTGGGAAGAATCGCTTGTTCTTTCATCGACATGAACCCGCCAACCGCCACGGAATCTCTGTTGGGGTCCGGTGTCGATGAATCGCTGGCGTTTGGTGAGGGGGTGGAAGACAGATTCTTTAGCCTCTTCTTTATGGTTGAATTCCAAAAGTTTTTTATTTCATTGTCGGTACGACCAGGCAGGCGAGCCGCAATTTGAGACCACCTTTGAAGCAAAAAAATTAAAAACACGAGTCAATTGCTTTTCATGCATAAAATGCATGGATGCTTTCATTCTAAACAAGCGATTGTGACTTCAATTTGAGATTAAGTCCGACCGAAGCAAAGACTAAAAAATAAAGTATAGGGATTAAATCCTTATTTTAAATATGATAAAGGACCGGATTCATAATTAAATAGATTAAAAAAGGTATTGCTTTATGTTTTCTTTCTAATGGGGGGAAGAGGGGACTATAATGAGAACGAAGACTATGATCAAAAGCGCTAATTTTGTCAATGAAATGATAAACAACGTTGAAAGGTATTACCTAATGAAGCAAGCAATTAGACGATTTCTATGTAATTATCATTGCTTAGCTCCCACAACTATTTTAACTAGTTTTTTTAATAAACGTGATTATAAAGTAATGTTAAATCCGGTTAAACTCATCCACACAAGTAGATAAAATTATTCGAACCCGAATTATTTAGAGAGTACATCTCCTTATATTCTTAACTAGGTTTTTAAACATGCATGCAAGAAAGACGAAGCATACCTGTTGCCAAGAATGGAATGCAAATGCACGATAAGCTCTTCCTCCTGCGGCGAAATGGCGCCTCGTTTGAGATCGGGTCTCAAGTAATTGATCCACCGGAGACGGCAGCTTTTGCCGCACCTTTGCAGGCCGGCATTTCGAGCTACGTCGCTCCAACAACCCTGGCCACTGGTTAGCATGTAGTTGATGAGCTTCTCGTCTTCCTCCGGCGACCACAACCCTTTCCTAAGCTTATATGTAGTAGCAATGGTGGTGGTGATGCTACCTTTGTTAGGCTTCTTCATCATGGGAAATCAAATACCCTAAGGAGAGGGAATTAAGCCTTGGATCTCCCTATCCAAGAACAAAAACAATATGGGTTATTTTTTGTTGATAACTAATAGGTTTAGCCATATGGGTTCGTAGAGATTTTATAGAGTGAAAAGAGAGGGTTAGGGGAGGAGGCTTCATGGTGGGGGGAAATGGTCATGATGAAGAAGACGATGATGGTGATGGTTGTGGGGGCTTGCTTAGAATTTTGGAAAGAAATAAGGAGTGAAATGAGTTAGTTGATGGGTCTAAGTAGTAAACGGTTTGGAGTGGGACATTGAGAGAGAGACAAATATAAAAAATAAATATGTATAAAAAAACAAATTAATTCAAGTCTATCGAGCGGAGAGATTATTATTTTGTCTAGAGGTTTCAAATTCGAATAACTACGCTTACAGAATGTGTACACGTTTTGTCAATTGTTTAGAAAGATTTTAAACATATACTGCATTGTAATCATCACATAATATTTAAAATAAATTAATTCGTATTATTACCTTTAAAATTTAACGTTACGACCTTAAATTGGTTTATTATTTGGACAAATACAATATTTTTTTATTAGGAATAAAGGTATAAAATTTTAAAGATACTAAAAATATATTATCAATAGAAAATAAAAGGTTTAAGGGTTATTTTTATCCTGTAGTACACATAATCTATTGTTTTCGCCCATATAGTATTTTCTCATCAACTTAACCATCGAAGTTATTTAATTACATCATCCTAAACTCTAAACTTAAACCCTAAAACCTAAACCTAATTTAAAACCCTAAACAATATTAAATATTTTAAATATTGATGTAATTAAACAACTTCAAATGCTAAATTGATACGAAAATACTATAGAAGTAAAAACAATAAATTGGATCTATTACAATAGTGAAAGTAGTCATTAAACCAAAAAAAATACTTAAATTATATTAAAATTCAAAATTATATAAAAAGAAATACCATCGCTCCTTCAATTAATCCCTAGGTATTTTGATAATGAAATCTTTTGAACTCTAAATTATCGTTCGTAGGTCGATAATTTAATAATTATTTTTTAATTTTAAAAAATTCAATAATAAAAACGATCATTTTAATTAGTTCGGTGATGTTTAATATATTTTACCCTTTAATTTTTTGAGGGAAGTTTATTATTATTATTAGGTAAAATGGTAATTTTTGTCCATGTAGTAGACTCAATTTATCACTTTTGTCCCTATTGTATTTTCGCATCAATTTAGCACTCGAAGTTGCTCAATTGTATTATTCTATAATTCTATCCCTAACTTAAAATCCTAAATTATAATTCTTAAACCCTAAACTATAACCTTATTACCTCTAAACACTTATTTAGGGTTTTAAGTTAAGAAGATGATATAGAATGACACAATTAAACAATATTGACGACTAAATTAATAAAAAAATATAATAAAAGTGAAAATTATAAATTTAATCTATTATAAGGACAAAAACGACTCTTAAGCTTTATTATTATTACTCTATCAAATATAAATCTTTATATTTGCTTGTAATTCACATAATCATCTTTTCCCTTACTTTCAACATCTAATGAGCCCACACTTGCACTCGAAGCTATAGATATGGACCTGGTGACCAACTTTAAATCATACAAAATAATTTAATAATTTAAGTAGAAAAAAGCTTCTTTGTTGTGATTACAAAAATATTCTTTCATTTTTTTTCATATGCTTAATGTGATGTGATTAGGGTCGTTCTGCGGTGCGGCGCCTAAAAAACGGCTAATATACGGCGTGACCGGTTAACCAAGTGACCGGTTAAAATTTAGACCGGTTATGTTATTTATTTAACCGGAAATATTATAAAGTACAATAACATACTAGGCGCTTATATAATGTAATAGGTAGCGCTTATATTTACCTATTTATAAGTAAACCAGTATATTATACCGATAGCATTGCAAATTTACCTATTACATTATATTATATTGAAAGTGTCCATACTTTTTATAAAAAGGATCGATACTTTAACAGTGTTTCATGTTTTCCACCTACAATATTGATTTAATAATTTCATTTGCACAAAAAATTATTTGATTGTTTTGATATTTTATAAAATATTATTTAGAATTTTTAATTTAATAATAATATATACCGTAACGTAAAAAATAAATCATTAGACGCCTATAATTACTAAATTAATATCTTAAAACTCACTCAAAAGATAACCTTAAATTAATGTTTTCCACAGTGAAAAAAGTATGGACACTTTTATAAAAAGGATAGACACTTTACAATATAACCATTACCTATACATATTATATCGATACCTATTACATTATAAGGGCTACCTATTACATCATATGTTTACCTATTTGTCCATACTTTTTATAAAAAGGATCGATACTTTTTTTAAAACTTATGTAATTTATGTTTCAATTTTTTAACAGTGTTTCATGTTTTCCACCTACAATATTGATTTAATAATTCATTTGCACAAAAAAATTATTTGATTGTTTTTGATATTTTATAAAATATTATTTAGAATTTTAATTTAATAATAATATACCGTAACGTAAAAAAATCATTAGACGCCTATAATTACTAAATTAATATCTTAAAACCACTCAAAAGATAACCTTAAATTAATGTTTTCCACAGTGAAAAAAGTATGGACACTTTTATAAAAGGATAGACACTTTACAATATAACCATTACCTATTACATTATAAACGATACCTATTACATTATATAAGGGCTACCTATACATCATATGTTTACCTATATATTGAAAGTGTCCATACTTTTTATAAAAAGGATCGATACTTTTTTTAAAACTTATGTAATTTATGTTTCAATTTTTTTAACATGTACTGCGAATTTAAAATGATAATATACTTGTAGTTATTGTACATACCTAAATATGTACTGCGAATTTAATGTTGTACCCACCCTTTAACTACAGAAACATGTTCAAATGAACCTTCGTTTACATATCCATCAACTCCTGGAGCACTGAACTTGCACAACAAAATTTTGCCATGGATATACTGATGTAGACAATGTTAAGCCAACCGAGGAATGCCATGAAGTACATAATGTTGATGAATCTGACAGATTGGTTGGTCAGCTCTTCTGTTCACGTGATCAAGCTTGGCACTTTTACAAGGGATTCGCACGGGAACATGGGTTTAGTGCACGTAAGGGAACAACACGGCTTGACGTGGAAGGGAATGTGAAGACACAAGAATTTTGTTGTTCCAAAGAAGGTTTCGAGTATCAAAAGTCATACTGTTGATCGTCAACGTGCTCATACGCCAGTCACAAGAACAGTAAGGCTAGAGTCGTAGTTACAGCAACAAATACAAACGATCAGTGGGTTAAGTAAGTCTGATCAGAAACAATCATGCATTGTGCACATCTGCTATGACACCATTTATGCGTTCTAATCGAGCTGTAAGTAAGGCTGATATCGATGAGGCAACAACATTGAAAGAGGTCGGTGTTGGCACGTCACAAGTAATGAACTATTTAACGCAGCAGGCAGGGGGCTATCATAATTGGATTTACACATAAAGACCTCTACAATGCACTTCAAAGAGGTAAAGCAAAGGAAATCGTCGATGGGGATGTGAATGCGCTTATTGCCTACTTTGATTATAAGAAACATGATGATCCCGGGTTTTTATGACATACTCGGTAGACGAATCGGGGGCATTGTATAATCTTATTTGGTCGGATTCTACATCGAGATCGGATTACACATGCTTCGGTGATAATTGCGTTCGACACAACGTACAAAGATAATTTGTATGGTCGACCAATTATGCCTATTGTTGGTGTCAATCATCACCATAACACAATTGTTTTTGCCACTGCCATAATCGCTGACGAAACGTCTCAATCTTTCGAGTGGGTGCTACAGAATTTTTTAGAAGCCATGATGAATAAATCACCTATTTCTGTTGTAACCGATGGGATAGGGCAATGCAGAGGGCTATCAAATCTGTTATCCCTTATGCTAAGCACAGATTATGTTCTTGGCATCTTTCTCGCAATGCACAAGCTAACATTGGTGACCCAAGTTTACAGCAGCATTCTCAAAATGCATGGCTTCCTGGTGGACAACCAAGGAATTTGATATTCAATGGCGTTCGATTGTTTCAGAATTCAACGTCCAAAAGCATCCATGGGTGATTGAGAAGGGAAATACACACACTTATGGGCACAAGCATATATAACCGTCATTTCTTTGCCAATATTCGCTCAACACAAAGGTGCGAGTCTATGAAGCTTCACTAGCTATTGCACTGAAACACAAGAAGACATATTTAGATGTTGTTCGTGCAATTGAAGATGGAATTAGTAGAATGCGTATGAACGAGTTGAAAGCGGATTACTTAAGTTCCCATACGAAGCCCTTCCAGATCACAAAACTGGTCGACCTTGAAAGCCATGCCGCTGCGATTTTTACCCGCGAATCTTTTCGTGTGTTCCAAGATGAACTTACACGGGAGACATTGTACCGGATTGAGGCAGAGATTAAGTCCTTATCAGATGAATGTCACATTATATTTTGTCAAAGTACGCAGAAAAAAATAGGAAATTTGAAATTAGTTTTGATTCTCGTACGAAAACTCTAATTTGCTCCTGCAAAATTCGAGACCGTTGGACTTCCGTGTCGCCATCAACTTCACATTTTGAAGCAATTGGACTACACATATTTGCCCGGGACTTGATTCAAAGTAGGTGGACTAATGATGCGAAGGCTTCTGCACCCAGCTATGTTGATTTGAATGTGTCTCCAGAAGTGATGCAAATGGCAAGGTTCGCTGCTCTACGTTCAACGTCAAGTAGGTTATGCTACATTGCATCAAAGACAGACGAGTCTTCAAACCGCAAGAGATGAGATGAAAAAACTAATAGAAGAATTAGAAAACTCGTTTGGTTTGAATCATTCAGTCAACCAGAGCATTGTAGTAAACAATGTTCGTGACCCTCAACGAAAACAACGCAAGCGAAAAGAAGTGCCGAAGAACAAGGTCGAGAAGCAAATTAGGCGATG